GGGCGCGAGCCCCCTCCCTCGGGTGGGATCTTCCCCGGCGCTGAGCCGTGGCTGCCTCCTGTCCCCCGCAGGTATTTCCCGGCTGGATGATCAGATCTTCCTCAACAGGAACCCGGGCGTCCCCTCCGTGGTGAAGTTCCACCCGTTCACGCCCTGCATCGCCGTCGCCGACAAGGACAGCATCTGGTAGGAGCTTCCCCGGGTCCCTCGAGCGCTCGCCGCACGCGCAGAGGGGTGCAGGGCGGCACGTGGGAGCGCGGGTGGATTGCTGCGGGGTAGCGCCGCCACGGCTTCTTCCTTTTCTTCTCCCCACTCCCCTCCCTGGCCATCCTCCCCTCTCTCCCGGGGTCCGGTGCCGTAGCTGTAAGCGTGGCACCGAGTCCTTTTCGATGGGAGGAGCTGGGTTAGAGGGCGGCAAGCGAATCCTGACCGATCTCTAGTAGTTACTTACAACCAGGCTTTTATCCTATTTCTTTCACAGAAGGTTGATGTGCCTTATTAATAAAATGATGCTGAATACCAAGGGAGAAAAGCAAATTGAATTGGTATCCGATACAGATGATTTTTAGTTTTGCCGTAACGAGTAGATCTCTTTGCAGCTTGCACAGAGAACCAAGAACTGACTTGATGTCCTTTACTCCCCCAGTTTTTGGGACTGGGAGAAAGGGGAAAAGCTGGACTATTTCCACAACGGGAACCCTCGCTACACCAGGATCACAGCGATGGAGTACCTGAACGGGCAGGACTGCTCCTTGCTGCTGACTGCCACAGGTAAATAACATCTTCTCGCGGATGAGGGCAGGACTCGGGGGCCTTTACAGGATTCAAGTCCTTGTGAGCCCTTCCCCTCCCCTGGGGAATCTGGCCCTTGCTGGCCCTTCCCCTCCCCTGGGGCTTGCCCATCTGCTCTCAGCTGAGGAGGCGTTTCCAGGGTCAAACCTGGAAGTTGTTTACTGAAATCTCTGAAGTGCTTAAGTAGGTGCTGCAAAGGCTTTCAAACGCCTAACGAACCAAGCGCTTGCTGAAGCCATTTCCAGTCGCAGCTTTATTTGTTACGTTGTTCTGAGCCTTTGCTGACCATTGCGAGTCCATGGGAACCTCCTCCTCTACGATACCTCGGGCAACATCATTTTGGCTGGTTAAAAGCTGCTGTCCCGGGCTGAAAAGGAAATGGTGCTAACACAGCTAAGACTTCAAACTCTCTTACTTGTGCTGGTTTAAGCCTAGAGCAGATGGGGCTTATTTTAAGCACTAAACTTCTCAAATAGTTCTGAGTTTCTCTCTAGCCTGTGTATCTCACCCGGGGGAATGGTTCTCTAGGACGGTGAGGTAGCATGAGGAGCCCTTTCCCATTCGTGGGTCTGTAAAGCTGTGAGTAAGATCTGCTGCTCTCCCAAGGAACTGTTCTGAGCCTGTCAGCCGCAGTGTTTTCAATAGCTTTTCCAACTTCACGCTGGAATGTACAGGTTGGGTATAATTAAGAGAGGTGGAAGAGGATCTGAGAGGGCCTTCAGGACATTTTCCTTTCAATTTATTGATTCTTAGCACAGAAGTTTCACAGATGGGGAACAAATTGAAAAAATACACAATGTTCTTGAAAGATTTGCTGCTGATGGGCTGGGCTTTGATTCAGCTTCTACTGTGGGTTGTATTTTGTGTTTAGCAGGGTACTTTTGTGGCTCTTGGCACCGATAGCAAGGAGGACGGAGATGAATCCTAGAGAAAATGAATGGGTCAAAGAAATGGAGCGACACCTAATGTCAGGTGTTATTCGAGGGGAGGAGAAAAGCTCTTTCAGAACAGTTCACGGTAGAAAAATGCTTTAGGTTTCACGGATGCAAGATTAGAGAGGAAAAACAACTCTAATAAAAATACTTACGTTCAAGTGACACACTCAGTTTTTGAGGTCGTATGACTGCAGTTCTGCTTCTCTTCTTCCTTTGTCATGCCCGAGTAACGATGAGATTGCATCAGCACTGACGTTGCCTTGTGTTCTCTCTTGCTGTGCTCCCCAAGACGATGGTGCCATCAGAGTGTGGAAGAACTTTGCAGACCTGGAAAAGAACCCAGAGATGGTGACTGCCTGGCAGGGGCTGTCAGACATGCTGCCAACCACACGAGGTGGGTTCCCACGACCTTTTGTTGGAGGGGGTAAAAATAATTTGTGATGGCAGGGTTTTTTCTAGGGATGGGGAGAATAAAACGGGTTTCTCAACTCCAGCCATCGGTCACATCCTTGTTCAACAGTCTCTGCCTTCTGGAAGGGTCTTTTGCCAGGCCTTGGTGAGGAATTACTTGCCCAGTTCTCACAAAACAAACCGGCAAAACCCAAAGCCCAACACAGCAACCTCTCGCACGCTCTGAACAACCAAAGCAGCCTCTTGCTGGGGAGCAGGAGGGTACAAAGTCCTTTGCTTCACAGCGGCTGTCTTGCCCAGGTGTTCCCCTTAGCTGTGTTCCTAAGGAGAGGACTGTAGAACAACGGTGGAACTGGGCGCTGCCTGGCTCCGCGCGGCAGGAGATTGTTCTTCCCCTTGGGCGGGAGCGTAGCTCACATATTGCCTCTTTCCTTCCGATGGGCTGCTCGGCCTTTGCACAGCTTTGCATGTTGCACCTGGGACCTCCTTTAGCCTGAGCTCCAATGTTGGCAATTCTTCTTTGCTGTTTAATGTGGGTCGGGACGTGGCAGGAGAATCTGCCGTCCCAATCTGACACGTGCAGAAGGACAGCACAGCTAGACGTCGACCTGCTTTGAACCTTAGAAACGATGGGTAGGAAAAGGTGTGAAAAGGAGCACTGGCATCCAGCCATGCATGGGATGAAGCCAGGAGACCAGTTTGAGTAACCCTGAAGTTTAGGACATTAGAGGAGGCGGGCGGTTCGTCCTTCCGAGACCTGGTAATGTAATAACACTGTAATGGTGATTCTCTGTCACTGAAATATTTTTAATCAAGGCTACAAGTTTCTCTAAATGTGCGGTGGTTCAATCAGCACTTGTGGGATTGGTGCAGGAATCGCTGGGTGAGGCTCCCTGGCTTGTGCTGTGCAGGAGGTCGGACGAGATGACCGTCGTCATTCATCCTGACCTTAACATCTGACAGTTCTCATTTCTGAGCTTACGCGGTTCATCACAGGAGCCTGACACAGCTCTTGTAGCTGTCGTTGGATTTCACTCGGGCTGCCTTGCTGAGCTCCTCTCTGTTGTTTTTCTTAAGACCCCATGGTTTGTCTCCGGTGCTTTAGGGAAGAGGAGCTGTGCCTGGGGTGACTTCAGGCTCTGTGCCTCCCTGCGGTACGTGCACAAAACTGATTACAAGCTGCTGGAAGTTTGCAGCATACTGTGAGAATTGCCGTGGCCAAAACCTGCCCTTTGCAGAGATGTCGGTAAAAGTGAGAGGAAAACAGTGGGAATGCAGCGAGCGGTGACAGGCCTGGACCTCCTCGGGCGGAGCGGAAAGCCTCCAGCAGGCATCTCAGTTGCCCTTTGTAGCGTCGGTTGGTCGGTCTGTCTGTATGTCCTTCTCGTCAACACCAGCTTTCCTGAAGGGTGCTGGGTGGTGGTTACCATCCCTGCATTCAGGATCTTGCTTCCATGGTGCTGGTAATGGACTCGCCCAAAGAACTGGGCATTCCCCCAGACTGCTCTGGTCGTCGGCTTCGTGCTGCACCGTCAGCCGCGTTCAGGGAGGACGCTGACGACCGTCGACCGAACAACTTCAGGCTAATTCCACTTCCCTGCCTTGCTTCCTGCGCGCGCCTTGCCAAGGCGCAGCACTTACTGGTGGTGCCTTACCCTCTGCGGGGCTCTAACGCAGCAGCAAGGATTGATAGCGCCGGGGTTTGACGTGGCAGCAGGCTGACAGCCGAGGGCAGAGCTGACCTAGCCACGAGCCGTATGGTTGAACTTGCCAGAACAGCAGTGTTGAAACTTTTAAAACTGTTCTCTTTAAGATATTTCCCCCGCCCCCCGCCCCTTCCCTTTCCTGCTTAGTCGTAGGAAGTCTGGGTCCTGTCTTCTTTTTGGAGCAATAGAATTGGGTTCGGAAGAAAGAGGTGGCCAGATTTCTTTTTGGAGAGAGAAATAATTGTAGTCACTTGGGAAGGGCCGTGGGTCCGGTCCCCTTGGGCAATGGGACTCTGGCACAGTTCTCTCGCTGCCAAGACCGCAGCCGTGGTCCAGCACTGGCTCGTAAAACTGAGGATGCATCTTGGAAGCGGCAGAGCTCAGGAGTTTTACTGGAGCTTGTTTGCTCCTACTGTTGATTTCCTTCCCTCCTCTCCCACCCTTTTCCATTTTCTGTACTTTCATCATTTTCTTGACAGCAGCCAGAATACCAATTTTCTAGGCAGTTGTCGCACTTAGGAAAGGCGAGCGGAACAGGTAATCCCTAAATACACCCTGCGGAAGCTTGAAAAGCATCCCTGGGTCTGAGTGACGGGAGGCCGGCGATAGCGTGCTCGGGGGCTGCCTGCCGGGGGGCAGCGGACCAGAGGGAGGCACAGAACCAAAACTTTTGCACCCTGGAAAGGACTTGTTCGCGGCGTGCAGCCCGAGGCAGGGGAGATGAGCCGGCACGGCCACGTTAGTGCGTTAAACTTGGCCCCGGCTCATTGCGCTTAATGGTTGACTTGAGACTCGGGGTAGGCGAGTCTTAATTTAAACACGGGCCAAGTACTGTGTGGGAGCCTTCCTTTTCCTGTGTGAGACTTTCTGATTTTGATCTTGTTTAGAGCTGCACTCCTGATGCACCGGGAAAGCCTCTTTCAGTCCCAATCAGGGTGTTTAAAGCAGCATTGGAACCAGGTGCCCCGGTGTAAGGCGGTGACGGGGAATCTCCAGCATGAGAGGTGGGGGGGGCTGAGAAAAGGCAAAGTGCCTGCTGTCGATAGCCTGGTGTTTCAAAGAATGTAGGAAAAACTCAGCATTTTCTAGCGAGCAGCGTGGGAAGGACCCAAGTCTGACGTGCTCGGAAGCTGTGATTTCACAGCAGGGGACTTTGGGAATTCTGGCAATTTCTAACAGAAAAGGCTGTTTGAAGGCTGCGGGAGCCTGCAGGGCAGCACAGACCCATGGTGCCCCCACGAGAGCTCGCCTGGGAGCCGCTCCGAATGCGCGCGGCGGGCAGGCTGGGTGGCGCAGGACGGCCGTGTTTTGCATTGTTTCTTTGTGACAAAGGGAAGCGAGCTGCCGTCCCCCGGCCAGAATGGCCTTGCCCTTTAAAGCAGCACAGTTCTGGAATTTGGAAAAACGCAGAAGTGTAACCAGCTGCTTCGCAATTGCCAGGCACCGTCTGCTCGGCCGTTCCCTCCCCAGCCCCTCGTGTGCTGTCGCAGATGCCGGCGTGGCTTTCCCTTCTCCAGTTCAGCAAAGAAAACCAGTATAGCTCTTCTAAAGGGGTGCCGGGAAGGACCGGAGGGCTCAGCCCTGTCTCTGCCTGAATACCTGGAGCTCCCTGTGCAAGGTTTTCCAGGGTTTTCCCAAGGTGCCTCTCGTTTCCCCATTCGCTGCCATCCTGCAGCGCTCTCCCGTTGCCTAAAGGCCAGGTCTGTGCCTGTGGCTAACCTAAGGGTTGTTTAAACGGGGCTCCCATACGCTGTTGGCGCTCCCTGCATGCTGGTTAGCGCACCCCAAAAGCACAGGGCAGAGTCCCCGGCACAGCGGCGCTCGCCACGGGGAGCCCCGACGTTCCACGGCAGAAGCCGCGTGTTCTGTGCTCGAGTGACTTGGATTTGCGTCTGTCGCTTCCCGACGCGGTGTGCTGCGGAGCAGGGAACCGATCGCGCGGAGGAGAGAGCCTCCTCCTTCCAGAAGAAATGTCGAATCTGTGCTGCATCCCCACCTCGCACGTGACACGCGCCACGGGTGATGGCTTCCCAGGGAATGCTGTGATTGAACTGGTGCCTGCTCTCTGGATGGAGGCATGCGCTGCTCTGGGTGCTTCTGCTTCTCTTTTATGTTCTTTCCTTTAATTTGAGTTGCTTTTCCTAATCCTTTTTTAAGATTTATTTTTGCTCTCGCTGACCGACTTACCCTTAGCATCAACCCCTTAATCCCTGTCTTCTCACAGGTCTGGCCCGAAGGGTTTCAATCTATCTTGACAGAAGTAAACAGGGAGGTGAGTGCTTTCTTTCCTGTTACCTATGGTCAGCTGGGTGGGACGGATCTCCTCGTCTGGCTTCGGGTTGGTTGGCTGGTTGGTTTTTTTGGCATTGTTTGAATGACTGCTTGGTCCTTGTGGTTCCTGGAAAGCTTTGCTGCTTCTACCTCTCCCCTTCCTTGCCTCGTGCCTGTGTCCGTAACGGCCGTGAGAAAAGCAGGGAGGGTGTCTGGGCTCTCCGGGTACGCGTGGCCAAGCGCTGGGAAAAGGGCGTCTTCGTGTCAGCCCCTGCGCTTTCTGCCGTGAGAGGAGGCGCGGGGGGGATGCACAAGCCTCTCTTTTCCGGGCAGATTTCAAAGCATCCCTGCCTTTGAATGGCAGGTTCCAAACGTGGACCGCCATTAGCTAATGTGGATTTTACTGGGGTTCATTTGTATCAGACTTCTGCTGTACAGAGCACGTGGAAGGGAGAAGCTGGTGAATCTTTCCCAGGAGGCTTAGAATAGCGGACTTTTGGCAAGGATGTGCCTAATAAATTTTACAAATTGTGTTCTTTCACGTGGAAGGAAGGTGAATGAACTCCCCAGCCTCCACCTGTAGAAGCCAGCGCCGTGCAGTGTCTGCGTTGCCCTGGAGCCCGGCCCCCTCCTCTGCTGCCGGGGCCTTTGGGGGGGGGCGCAGACGGCGAATGCATCAGGGCCGCTGCGCGTGCCTGCACGTCCGCGGAGGTCAATGGTGATGCAGTCATCTTGGGGTATTCATCAATTATTCATAACTGCTGACGGATGGAAACTCAGAAATCCACTGGCAAGCGGAAAAGCTCGAACCAGCAAGCCTTGGCCACAGGGAATTCCCCGCGCAGTGAATGGGGTGCCCCAACAGCCCGAGGCCATACCAACCGCTGCCGTGCCGGATCGATACCGCCGATGGCGAGCGGCCGTGCTCTGGCCCAAGCACACAAACAACCCTGAATCAATAAAAAGCACTCGCCGGCATTTTCTGGCCGGGTGTTCTCCTAGTGAAAAAGGCAGCAAAAGGATTCCTGCCCTCCCACTGAAGACGTCTTAAAGATGTATGAGATGAGCTACGTGCTCGACAGAAAAACGCATCAGCAATATTTTGATAAAATAGACTCGTTTTGTCCCTAAAGCACTGGGAATCTGTTCTTGTCTCCTAGGCTTCTGTGAGGAGTTTTTACCGAAAGAAAGACGGGGGACTGCCTCTTCGGGCTGGTTTTAGGCTGGAATCACTGGGCAGCGCTGTATTGCAGATCCGCAGTAAATTAGAGAAAGACCAATGGCTTAATGGTCCAGGTCGTATCAGGCTGCTGCGCAAGTCAGCTCGGGAATCCCTGAAGCTCGCGTGAGCACGGAGCGAAGTCTGCAGCAGCACGGGGAAGGCAGCTGAGCTAGCGGGAGCCTGCAGATGCGGTAGCCTGACCCTCGGCCCGGGCGGCTTCCCCCCCTGCTCTGCCAGGGCTCTCCTGGGGCATCGCAGCACTCGGCTGCGTCGCCTCCATTGGCGTAACTGCGATACGAAGGAGGAGGCGGTGTTAACACGAGAATGTACATCTGACCTGTGCCCCCCTCCATCCATCGCTGCCTCCCGGGGGTTGTTGGTGCTGGCGTGCAAACAGCGATAATCCGTCTTACCTTGAGAAAATTTCTACTAATGCCAAGCAAGAAAAAATAAGCACATGCGTGCCAGTTCCCTGCTTCCTTCCTGCTCTCCTGGGGCTTCCGAAACAGAGGGAAAGGCATCAAATACCCGCTCTGCAGAAAGCCAGGACTGTGCCCTCTGGAGGCTCCGCTCTGCTTCGAGCGCTGCTGACGCTGCTGGCAGCAGTTGGCAACCCCGGCGGGCGAGGGCGGAGAGGCGCCTCGGGGCAAATAGAAGTTGGCAGCTCTGGAAGGGAAGTTCTCCGGGGGCTGTGGGGCTGCGTTGCTGCACGGGGCGGCCTGCAGCAGAGGGGAGGCTCTGACCCACAAAGGAGCTGATCTGGTGATCAAACGCAAACAGAGCTTACGCCGGAGAACGAGGGGAAAAGAGAAAAGCGGAGTCAGTCTTTCTGCGTGTCCGCGGGGGCTGGTGTCTTGTCCCTTAGGAAGAAGGAGTTTGGGAGAAGCCTCCTATTTCTGGTCCGATTTTTTAATGGCAATAAAATAATTGGAGAACTTGCAGCTCCGGGGGTTTGCGTTCTTTTAATTGGATTCCCAGCGTCACAGCTGCTCTTCTCCCTTGCTGCGCGTGGTCCTTGGCAGAGGAAGAGTGACGCCTTTTGCGAGGATGTTGTAGAAATTCACGGCGCGTAGGTCATACGGCCCCCCCCGCCTCCTGGAGATGACGGCAGCGACGTCTCCTCGCTCAGCCAGGCGGGCCCACGGATGAGAAATCATCAGTCGGAATCCGAGGTGCTTCCGCGCTGGGTTGGGTGCAGGTATCCCTGGTTTCGCTGAAACGCCAAGGGCGGGCTGGCCACGTCCCAGTGACGGTGGAAATGGGTGCAGACCCTGGGAATGCAGCTGCTTGCGAGCCCGGTGTTGTTTATCGACCCTTACACAAGGGATTATCCCATCCAGACGCGCGCCTGTGGCTCAGGGTGGGTCCTGAGGGAGCAGCCGTAGGCGGTCGCGGCTCCAAGCGCTGTTGGCGCGCGGTGCCTTGTGCGCAAACCTGCCTCGTACGGAACTGCGAGGACTCGTGCGAAAAGACTGAAAAACAAACAAATAAAAAAAACAACCAAGCAAACAGAACAAAAAACCACCACAAACCTTTAAAAATTTCCTTTCCTGAGCTGTTGGAGAGTTTGTGGCTCATTTGAGAACATAATATTCCTTCGGGGGAAATTGTAACCTTAACTGATGAGGCCTTACAAGGAGCGTGGTGCTCGGGTGCCCCTTCCTGCGGTTCGTTGGCTTCCAACTACGGCGGTCTCGCTACCGGCCCTTCCCGGACAGCCGCGGCGGTGCCACGGCACTGCCCCTCTTCCTGCGGCTCTGTGAGCGGGCGCGAGCCTGGAAATGGGGCGCAGGGAGCGCGGAAGCCAGCCACCGGCTCGGGCC